ATCTCCATCTAACCTTGAATGTGGAGACCGGTTCACAATATAGCAAGCATTTGCAACCGACTCTGCCCACCATTCTCTGCCCAAACCAGTATAGGATCGCATACACATCGATTTCTCTCGAAATGTGCGATTCAATTTTTCCGCGACCCCATTCTGTTGCGGTGTATTTCTTACTGTCCAGTGTCTCACAATGCCTTCCTTACCACAGAACTTCTTGAAAGCACCATCTGTATACTCAGTACTGTTATCTGATCTCAGTGTCTTCAATTTCTTTCCTGTTCTGTTTTCAACCATTGCTTTCCACTTCTTGAAAGTGTCGAATACCTCATTCTTATGCTTCAAAAAATAAATCCAAGCATATCTAGAATAATAATCAACAAATGTAACAAAATACCTGGAACCGCCTTTGGAAGTGACAGAAGCCGGACCCCATACATCTGTGTGTACATAGTCAAGAATGCCTCTGCTTCTATGTTTGCTTGGCTTGAACTGAACTCGGTGTGCTTTACCGTACACGCAATGCTCGCAAAAATCCATGCAAGGCTTCTTCAAGTTCTTTAGCAAGCCTTTCTTGACTAGCAAATCTAGCCCCTTTTCAGACATATGCCCAAGCCTCCTATGCCATAGCCGAGTGCACTCACATGGGTCTCCACCACTTCCACTTGTTCCAACTGCTACATCTTCTGTAACTGTAGTACCCTGAAAAGCATATAGGTTGCCTTCACGAATACCCTTCATCACAATCAAAGAACCACGAACAATCTTCTTTACTCCATTCCATGTTACAATCTTGTAACCACCGGAGTCTAAGGCACCAACAGAGATAAGGTTCTTTCGCAAATCAGGAACATGTCTAACATCCATCAATGTTCTAACCACTCCATCATGCATCTTGATTCTAATTGAACCAAGCCCCACCGTTTTACATGAATGGTTATTACCCATCAATACGGTTCCACCATCAGTGCTTCTATAGATAGTAAACCACTTCCTATTTGGACACATATGGTAAGAGCATCCAGAGTCAAAAATCCACTTTCCGGAGGTCTCTTCATCACAGGAGATTGTGTAGCACTCATCGCTTTCCCCTCCTTCCGAGGTATAGCTTACATCTTGCTTGACTTGCACCTTCCCATTGTTGTTGTTCTTATTGTTCTTCTTGCAACCTTTTTTGTTTGGACAATTCGCCTTGAAATGCCCAAACTCGCCACATTTGAAACAAGACCTTTCCGCAAGAGATCTAGAACTCGATCTAGATTTTTCTCCCTTTCCCTTTGGTCGCATATTGCTTCTACCCCTTACAAACAATCCTTGAGCTTGCTCTTTGTTACCAATGGTAGACATGCCACTAGTTGCAATCTTTCGAAGATCATCCGCTAGAAGTGACGTTCTAGTGTCTTCCATCACAAGTTTATCACCCACAAGCATCAATGTTTGTACTAGATTCTCGTAAGACTTTGACAATGAAAGAAGTAGTAGAAGTGCTTGATTCTCATCATCTACATCCACATCAATGTCCTTCAAGTCCGATATGATCCTATCAAACTTGTTGACGTACTCCCGGATTGGTGTACCTTCATCCATCTTGCAAGTATACAATTTGGACTTCAAATAGATCCGATTTGTTAGAGTCTTCGTCATGAAATTCGCCTCCAACTTTGTTCACACCTCCGCCGCCGTTACCTCACTATCAACCAAGAAAGCAACATCTCTTTCAAGGCAAAGAATGATAGACGCTCGTGCCTCAAGATCTAGCTCTTCCCAATCCTCGTCCGACATATCAACGTGCTTCTTCTCCTTTCCCGCCAATGCCTTGTGCAACTTTTGAGAAATCAACAAATTTTTCATTTACATTCTCCAATATGAAAAATCATTCTTCCCATTGAATTTCTCTATCTCATACTTCCCAATCTTCACCATTCCCCTAGTAGACATTTTTTATCCACTTGTTTACCGAAAATAAACCACAAAAGTTCACTTGAAAATTTTCACAAACACCTTGTGCACAACCAAGTTCAAGCAACTCACCACAAATCGAAGTTTAACCACCTTGATTTTGGAAGAAGCTCTGATACCAAATTGTTGGGAAAACACCTCCCCAAAGATAGCCCAAAGATCAAACAAAGTTGACAATGTGAAATTTCCAAACCACTTCAAGAACAAGAAAAATGAGGAAGAAATGATTTCAATGGAATATATGAATATCAATGTATCTGGATTACTTGAACAAGCCTCAAGTTAATCCCCAAGAAAGAAAATAACTTTGAATTTATACCCAAGATGAACAACCTTCAATCTTGTAAAAATTCTCTCCAAGTTTTCTCTCAAGTTTCTCTCTAGGTCTTGTGTTAAAATGAAGAAGGGAAAGAATGGCTATATATATAGCCTATCGGGGCGCCTAGGCGCCCGGCAGAACCAGCCTCCCCTTCCCCTTCCTTCCTCTTCCTTCTGTTCTCATAATAAAATCAAAACTATAACTAACCTACAAGGCTTACAACGTTTCACCGACCTTCTAAGATGGAATTTGACATCTCATTAAAATGAAACAGCAATTCAATCCGAAAGCATGTCTATTATTATTTTTTTAAATTATAAATAGATATAAATGAATGATGTTTCAAAATGTATAAATAAAAAATGGTTTAATCGTTTATAAACAATTTATAAACATGAATCAAACATTGACTAAGACATAAACAAGCAAACTTATTCAATTAGTGATGTTTTCGAACAAGCCAAGGCTTGTGCAGTTGGGCTAGTATACCTTTTTAAGATTGAACCTCACGTCTTTATATTATTGTATGCTTCATTTAGGGGATACTTTGGCAATGAATATTTTTCAAGAAATGAAAATTTTGAAAATGTTATTCAGGTAGCATCATTCTTTTTTTGAGGGTGGTAAAACCACACCGATCTACTAAAGGAACTCATAAATGAGTAGGCTTCCTCTCGACATTCACGGATCTGGAACTTTAACTCGTTATATTTAGTAATTTGGTTTAAAATCATGCTACAGTGCGAGATAGATTGAGGAAAAAGTTGACATAATGTTATCTTGACATTCCATCGTTTGACTGTTTAAACACAATAAGTTTTTTCGTCAAATCACCTGCTATCACTTACACTTTTTATTCCATTTGTCAAAATCCTTCTAGCAAAGGGGCGTAATCCTTTATTTTATTAATTGTACGTAATATCTCGACTTGAAGATAGAGGGACCCACCCTCCAATGATGTGCCAATACTGAGAGCCCACAAACTGATCTAATGGTGGGAATATTAAGAGCCCACAAACTGATCTAATGGTGGGAATATTAGTTACATCATTGCGTGTTTTACAGGGAACTTGTGGTTCTTGCTGGGCATTTAGCACCACGGGAGCTATTGAAGGAGCTAATTTCATTGCAACTGGGAAGCTTCTAAGTCTTAGTGAGCAACAACTTGTAGACTGTGATCATGTGGTTAGTTTCAGTTAGATTTTCAGTAATTAATAATTATTGGCATATTAAAACACACGGAAGACGGATCATAGCTAGTTTTATATTGTTATTGTTGATTAAACATTACACAGTCTGTCTGTGTTTAGTGTGATGCAACAGAGAAGGATGCTTGTGATGATGGATGCTCAGGGGGGCTTATGACTAACGCTTACAAGTACTTGATCGAGGCAGGAGGTATAGAAGAAGAGGATGCGTATCCTTATACCGGAAAACGCGATAAATGCAAATTTAGACCGGAGAAAGTAGCCGTTAAACTTGTGAATTTCACCAGCATTCCAGTGAATGAAAATCAGATTGCTGCCTATTTAGTCCATCATGGCCCTCTCGCAGGTAGATAACTCTTTATTTCGCTGATGCTGTTGAAGAAGATATAGTAATATATCATCTGAATTCAGAAAAGAATTATTCTTTCATTAGCCACGAGATCTTTGGTGGTTTTTTCTTTTCTTCAGAAAGAGTCAGATATACCAAAGATGACATCAGTCACTATGTAGTTAAGGCCGCCAACAGAGACAGGTGGTGTCAATTTTTTACTCTCATGATCTAGACGGGGAATTGTCTTTAGGAAGATGTATGAGAAGAGAAGAAGAGAGTATAAGGACAATAAATTGTTCTACTAGTTTATGTGTTTTTCGTATTGTGAACTCTCTTTGTCTCCAACCTCTTTCGTTAGACGAAAATTAAAAAGAGAAAGAAAAATAAAAAATATGATGAGACGGAAGTCAGATTAGCAGGTATATAATCGTCGGGATGCTTAAAAACAAATTTGGAGTGGAATGGACTCTTATAGGCAAAGGTTGAGGATTTCACATATTCGTTGTCAATTGATGGTTTTCTTGAATTTGTATATGCAGTGGGGATAAATGCAGTGTTTATGCAAACTTATATTGGCGGTGTATCATGCCCGCTTATCTGTGGCAAGAAGCGGCTGGACCATGGCGTTCTTCTAGTTGGCTACGGCTCAAGAGGTTTCTCGATTCTCAGATTGGGGTACAAGCCATACTGGATCATCAAGAATTCATGGGGAAAGAACTGGGGAGAAAAAGGATACTACCGATTGTGTCGGGGGCACGGGATGTGTGGGATGAACACCATGGTTTCTGCTGCAATGACCCAGACATCATGGTAAAGTTTGGTTGATGCATCTTATGAAATCCTTAAATTGCAAGGTGGTTTGATTTGTAAAAATGTAGGATGTTTTTCATCTTGGCGCTAAGATCAAATAAAATTTCTAGCTATGTAAGGTTAAATAATCTGTTAATCTCTTAAGATCGAATAATTTTGTTAATAGTGAGTTTTCTTATACGCAAGAATTATCTGGTTTTTTCTTTCTTTTTTGTCAAAGCTGAAAACGAGTTACCGTTTTGAGAGGATCATCTATGTAAATAAAATTGGGTTATTTTCGCAATAATAGTTAGCTAATTTCTTTAAACCCGTCAAAGTCCCATATCTCCTTCTCCGCCTTTGTCCCCTTACCAGCTTGCCAAAAACATTTAGGGGCATTAATTCTAAAATCAGACAAGTTAAAAGTATTTTAAAAATAAGTCTCAATTTGTTTTCAATTTTTTGCCCAATTTCAATATATTTTCTGACCATCGCAATAATGTAAGTTGTCTGTCCGAAGTGCAAGGGGTAAACTCGAATAGGATAGGATTGTGCGTGTCGGGCCCTTTGGGTTCATATTTTGGCCGAGTTTACCGTACCTCGGGCCCCTATGTTAGGCGGTCGTAGCCCTGCAAAGGCATGGGGAAAGCTATAGGCATAAGCTGGAAATGCTCTGTCGTAGAGTTTCGCTAGCAGTGTCGAGCTTTGCTCGCGATTCGACTGGAATTAAGGACCCGAATGAAATTCATGCTGCTATCTAAAGAATGAAGTAACCGACAACAAAAGCAGCAAAAAAGACAATCGCGATACTGCTGAAAAGTACGATTTCAATATTTTCCATACGTAATCCTAGGTGAATATGCTTTTCATTCACCACTGGTTTTTTGACTTTTTCTTTCACATGGATCTTATGTGCTGGCAGAAAAACAGTCTGAAAATACATTTGTCTTCAAACAAGTGGAAACAAACTGGGGCTAAATGACTTCAAATCTGTCATTTTTACTATGATGTAGATAATTGTTCTCGTGTTTTTAGATTTAATCGTGTCATAATATATGTAATTTTTTTAAAATTGCAACTTTCACTATATGTTATTGCTATTATTATGTATGTAATTTTCTAAATATAATTTAAAATACAACATAGCACCATCTCACAATTACCGCCGTTCCATCACTATCAACGTTCACCTATTGATACAAAAAAATTGTACCCACTAGTATCACATTGTATATAATTTATGTATTACTAATCTATGCACCACACCAAATATACGGTGGTTAATGTGTATAATTTTTTAGTGTTGTAACTTATTAATTCATGCATCAATATCACCTATATCACCGTCTTCGTCACAATGGATCGTCGAACCTAAAATCGTTAAAATTGTAGATCACCATAAACCTTAAACATCCAAAAACCATCCGTCCATCACCTCTATCTAATTTGCATGAAACACCACCAAAATTTTTTAGATCTAGACACCAATGGAGGAGGAAAATAAAGTTGCAATCATAACGTGAGCGATTCCAAATTTGAGTGAAAGTTATCGCCAATCACCCCCAAAAACTACTGCCTCCATCAATGAGAAATCGAAAATTTGATTTGCATATTGTGAGAGGATTATTTGACGGGTTTCGAGTTTTGTGGTGGTGGTGAAGATTGATTGGGACAAGGAGAGGCCAATATTTGGGGCTTGAAAATTTGGATGATTTGGAAATGATAAAATTTGATTGTGATTTGGTGTGAGGTGCGAGAGAGTGGAGGAGGATGAAAGGTTGGAATAGTGGTGGGAAACAAGCCCGTCAGTCTGGAACTCATTTGTACGAATCAAGGCTCAAGCAAACCTTAAAAAATGAGATTTGACCCAAACTTGAGCCAGTCTATGAGCCGCAAGAGCCCAAATACCAGCTGGCCCATATGTGGGCTCGTGTGACCAACTTTTTATGCTGGCTTTTGCAGGCTAGTTAATATTGAAAAAGCAAGTGTAAATGCCTGCTACCCCTGGTGGTTGATGGGAGCCCCACTGGCATTATTAATTTATTTATTTTTTAATTCAACAACTTGTAAATTAATTTTATAGTTTTTAAATTAATTTTGTAATTTATAAATTAACAATCAACTTTTTTGTATATTCGAATAAAAAAAGGCAAAGTCTGTGAACCGACTCGGCTCGACAAAGGCTAGAGCCAAGCCTCATTTTTTGTGGACGAGCCCAGCCTGGGCTCGACTCGAGTCCAAAAAGTTCGAGCATTTACTTATTTATTTATTTTTTTTGACAAGTTGATATTGAGCCCTAAGCTTGAGCTCGTGAGTAGGCTCAAGCCGATTCGTTGCCACCATTAGGCTGGATTTGGCTTAAGATATGTGAGCCTCTGTATGTTACAAATTAAAATTCGAATTTTAATTTAAGTCAAAATCAACAATTAATTTTAAACATATATTTATGGGTTCCACAATTTTTTAATCACATATTTAATCAATTTCTATCAAATCTACTAAAAATCTAATTTTAATCCCCACCAACACAAATTTGTAAAAAGAAATTCAAAAATCTAGTAGTACATGTGTGACATTTGATAAATATTATGACCTATAGTTGAATTAAACTGGTTACAATCACATGCCTCACAAGTTATAAATCACAATCACATACTAAATTACAAATCACACAAAGTCAATCATATATTGCACACTTGATGGCCACGACCACCTATTTAGTCACAAAGTAAACAATTAACAGGTTTTAAATCATATAACTTTTAGGTCACAATCACATATTAAAATCACAAACCAAACAACTAGTAGGTAATAATCATTTATTAGTCACATTTTATACAATTAACTGGTCACAATTTGTCCTAATTCTTCTCACCCCACCTCACCTCACCTCACCTCACGCCACTCCCCCTTCCTTCACCATCACTTCCATCTCTATCGCCATGTTGGCTATGCACATTTTTTTCGAGTTAACAAGCCCAAGATACAAATTCTGTACAAAACCAACCACCGCGACCCGCCATTCCTGCCACCCTCTAGATCCTCCCACGCTCACAGAATTCAATAGATTCAACAAATCATCCAATAACATGAACTATTTAAGAACTCAGCCTATGCGTTCCAATATGTCGTTCTTGAATAGCCCTACTAAAACCATCAAAAATGATGACGACGCTACCTATGAATTTCAATCCCTACTCTCAGCTGCAACTTTTTCTCTTCATATTGTTAAACCGCAAGGGAATTCAAATTGGAACTTGAAAAAGGATTTGAGAACCAAATCAAAAATGGAAAGCTAAATTAGATTTTAATTCAATTTTATTGAGCGACTTAGGGCAAAGAAAGGGAATCAGACTAATTGGAGTGGTGGGGGTGGAGGTGGGATTTACCTGATTTTTGATCAAATATTATTAATACCTGATTTTTTAAATTGAAGCTTCAAAATTAGGGACGAAGGTAATTTTTCCTTTCCAAATTACTTTTGGACTAAAAATTATGCGTTTGGCAAGGTTGGGTGGAGAGTAGGTTAGTGAAATTCATGTTGGAAGTTTATCTTGGGCTGGGACCAGGGCAATAGTATAAAAAAGAATATTTCATGTGAATTTTGATCCGGGCTCCAACTACAGCTTAGGACTCCCTTTATCCGCTCAGGATGACAACGGAGTGGGACGGGATCAAGATGTCACTATCGAGAATTTTTGGAAGATAAGGTAGGGTGACGTGGGGGATGGTTGTTAGTTGTGGTAGCATGGCATCAAAAATTGTTGTTGGGAATGGGGGTTGGGGATATTTAGGTGGAGAAGATAACATTTTTTTTTTAATTTTTTATTGTCAAATTTTTTTATTCTCTTATTTATTTGAATTTTTTTTTACTTTTATTTTTAGTTTTCATTAAGGGGAGGACATAGTTTTCATTTTACGTAATCTTAATGGTCAAAATAAACGACAACTGTGAAAAAAGGACCAACTCTGTCTATTTTTTGGGGTGGATGGTGCCAATAAAAAGGCTGAGGGCATCACAACCATTTTTGAAAATTTGGAAACGGAAGATGATGTCTAATATTGACATAGAGAACGATGAGCCTACGTAATATCACTAATTCTGATGGTGTCTAATATTGACAAATGATCAAAATACGAGGGCAAATTTTTTAGGAGGATAACATAGGTTGAATCAAGACCTAACCTAGTGCATTTTCTATACATAGATCACTCTTTATAGTGATCTTCCTCAACACAATCTAAAATATTTTCGAGACCATGTCATGTCAGCTTAGAGTTTTAAAACTTTATTTTACAAGCGTGAAGTAGGCGTAGTCTTGTTTGGGGCTACTCGACTTGATTCAACAGAGGTTACGGGACCATGTTGGGCCAAGTTCTCAAGTCCGTATCCATATAAACTTTTCAACAGTAACAAGCCCCCGCTTGATTTTGATTATAATTAGATTGTTAGTAAATGTTAAAAGAAGTTGATATAATATGGATTAAAAAAATTATGGGGTCTGCAAAATGCATAATTAAAATTAATTATTGAATTTTACTTATATTTTAAATTTTTAATCAAATTTTTTAGCTGGACCAAATAGGACCCCCAATATTTTTAGAAGCTCGGCCTGACCCATAACAAGCGTTTTGACTGTCCTACTTAATATTTTTTAGCAGTATTTATTTAATCTGAATTTTTAAAAGCTCATTTTCGATTATGCATTTTATAGTACTCACAATTTTTATTAATTTCACGTTTCATTAATTTTTAAAATTAAAATCTACTAAATGGGGCTTAGCCCCTGTTTGGCCACCATTTTTTGGAAAAAAAATAAGTGGAATGGTTTTTTTTTAATTTAAAAATAAATGGTTAAAAAAGAAAGAAAAATTTTCGATTTACATGTAATATTATTTTATGAAATATAATTTAATGGAGATCAAATGGCTCAATGTCGTGATCACGTGAAACCACGAAAAAACGTGTAACTTAATCAAAGGCAGCGCATCCACGTCAGAAAGAAGAGAGAGAGAAATAAATCACGACACTGGCAGAAACTGACAAACAGGATGCCACCAAATCAATGAAAATGATATAAAATTCGTTTCTCTCTTTTATAAATACACCCTCTTCTCGTCTCAATTGATTCTTTGTTTGCCTCTTTTACTTGCCCGTTCCATAGAGGGAGAGCCCTACAAAAGGTATAACATTTCTTGCCTATTCTTTTCTTGTCTCTTTTTCTTTTTTATTTTTTTAATATTTTATTGCTTTGAGAATATTCATTTTTTCTATTGGTTGCCTTTGTAAAGTGTATGAATCTTTTATCACGTTTAATTATTAATGGGGTTAGGAATTGCTAATTGTGGAAAAAGATTAACGTGTTTTGTGAAAGATCAATTTTGGTTTTGGTTTGAATTTGCTTCTTTTTATTTATTATTATTATTTGAGAGAATTTCGTTGACTTTCTTTTGGGGATGATGTTATTCGTGCATGTGGTAATTAATCACATTGTTTGTTGACGATGTGAACGAGCAGTAGCCTTCTACGGGTTGAAAGAAAAATTAGTCTTTTTGTACCTCGAAAGGGAGGTCCTTGTGATTCCACCTGGTTTTTCTTGAAAAATGAAAGGATCATTTATACATAGCATAGTCGAGGTTGACCCACCACTCCTTTGAACTTATTACTCTGAATTGAAGGGGTAACCGGGATAGAAGGGAATGAATGGAGGAAACCAGAGGATCGAGCTCTCTTTTTGTGCCTAGTGATGGTTAGGATCTAACAGTGTAAAGAATTTGATTGGTTGGGAGAATAATTGCTGGAAAAGCAAGTAATCTTTCACTAATTTTTGTCCTAGGCTGACACCAAGTACTGCATAATTCACAAGAACATTCTTTATTCTCAAGATGGTTAAGGATTTACTTGTTGTATTCTATAACATTGTTCAAGGAATCTTAGATGTTGTTTGAGTAAAGGATCGTCAGCAAGTCTATTTTAGTTTGTTGTGTACTCTTATCCAAGACTTGTATCATTTGATGATGACATGTGAATCACCAGAAGATGTGAAGGATATATCTAATCACTAACCCACATCTTTTTTGATAGCTTATTGCCCTTTTCTCCGTATTACTGTCTCCCACACCTTATTTCGTTTATACCTTTCACGAGTCTGTGGTCTAAGGAAGTATATAAAAACTGTGAATGATCTCTTTACTTCTATGCTTATTGTTTGTTGGTAAATATCGAATCAGAGAGCCTGAGAGTTGGAACTCTTTTAGTGAGTTTATTCAAGTTCTCAACCTTCTTTATGCTCTGATTTAATATTTTATTAGCTTCTCTGGGTTTGTTTTATACATCTGCATATTGTTTTGAACTTTTGAAATCTCCTTTTATGAGTTGAAAAGCCTCTGCTTTTTACAAGCTGAGATCACAGTTGCAGTTAAAACTTATCCCATATTTCAGTTGGACGTTCTTCTTTCTATTTTGTTGAATTTTACCTACCGTATTATGCCTTAGGGAAACTCATGCTAATATGCAAATAAACGGGGCATATAATCACTATGAAAGTTGAATTTGGATAAATGCATTACAATTTCAACTGTTTTATTTTATTAAAGTTTGCAAAGATCATTTTTCTCCATTCTGATTCATTCTAATTTTGTTCTTTATCGTTTTTATTGAAAACGAACCTCTTTTATGCAGAACAGTAGTTTCGAATCCTTGCTTAATTTCGTCCAAACTATACCTTTTGATACAATCTTAAGAGGACATTTGAAGAAACAAGTTGATATTTACTCTCTCATTGGGGAAGGGGATGGTTTTCCAGTCTAGTCATTATGGAAGTGGATATTGGAACTTCCTGCAGAAATGAGAAGATAACTTTGGAGACTCCGACAACAGTTAACGAATCGAAAAAGCCAGCAGAAAATCACACAAGCGCTTCTGTGTTCGTCAATCATGGTAAGTCTTGCTTATAATTATGTGTGAAGAACCAGCAGAAAATCACACAAGCACTTCTGTGTTCGTCAATCATGGTAAGTCTTGCTTATAATTATGTGTGAAGAACCAGCAGAAAATCACACAAGCACTTCTGTGTTCGTCAATCATGGTAAGTCTTGCTTATAATTATGTGTGAAGAACCAGCAGAAAATCACACAAGCACTTCTGTGTTCGTCAATCATGGTAAGTCTTGCTTATAATTATGTGTGAAGAATAAAGTATAACTGTATATAAAGATACTAAAATATGGCATGGGGTTCAGAAAGTAAACATTTATCACATTTACCACTGCTGGCTTTATTGGTACGTAGATTGAAAGTTTATCGAAATAGATAGCTCAATTAGAGTTTTTTCAAGGAAAAATTATATGTTTGTGTAGATTAACAAAAGAAAGGAAAAGGTAAGGGGCTAGATCTTTTGAATGAATTTAGTTACATCCATTGCTCTTGTACAATTGAAGTAAATGGTATGATTCGTCTTCTCATGTATCTATGTATTGGTCAAATATACTTAACAAAGCCTGTTCATTCAGTTAGATGACTCTCTTCTTTAAAGTTAAACCATAGAGGTGAATATCCTTTTTAATTACCTCATTCTGTGCGTTTTAGGTTGACCTCTTCCCTGAAGCATATCATAAATACCAGTATGATGGCTTATTTTAACCTATGCCATCTAGTGACCTTTGATAAATGTCCAAACTATCTCCAGTGCTCCAATATATGCCACAGAATTTATCTTCTGTTATGTTTTTAGACACTTGTGTAATGTTGAAGATCATGGGTTCGAATCTTGTGTCCACCCAGTTGTGAGAATTTCGTTTGTCAAAAAAAATTAAACTGGTCGACACATAGTGGGGCTTGTTGAAGATACAAAAATAAATGCATGAAGTTCTCTCACTAACAACTTAAGTTTTTAAATTAGGTTGCCATTTAATTCCATATTAGAGGTGAAGATTTTGGGTCCAAGTCCATTTTTGAAATTTCATTAGGTCTTCAAAGAAAAAATGAGCATGACCTCCACAAGAGGAGCACTGAAGATATAAATGAAAAATAAATTATCCACATTAAGAACTTAAACTTTTAAGATGGAAAAATGGAAAACCTTTTGCTCATCGTTAAAACAATTATAAATAAGATAAAAGGGTCAACAAGAGATCTTTATATGTCTGTGTTTGTAGCTGCGATTTCTTGGCACGAGAGCAGAAGAAAATGGATTGGAGATCCAACTCAGAGGTCAAAAAGTGTGCCAAAGGATCCAATTATAAGGTACTGCCTGTAATTGCTTATGTCTCCCATGAATGCCAATAGCACTATAGGGACACGCAAAATGTGTGCTTTTCAACTTTCCACAGTAAATGTTTTGGACACTTTTTCAGTTTCAAGTGGTGGCACTATTTGATTTAGCTGCAATGATATGAATGGCTTGAAGAAGATCCTAGTGTCATTTAAGTTCAGACTAGGTGTAGAGTTAATACATGTTTGTATACCTGTCTGATTGATCTATTACTATATGCAACAAGCACAAATAGTGGCTCTGCTCTACGGTTCCTGATGTCTTGAAGGTCCACGTCCTGAAAGTCTTGCCCATAAGATGATGCTGTAAGTTATTAGGGCACATAATAGCTAATGCAACTGATTTTATTATACTTATTTGGTCATTTTGTTTCCTTTACAAAAGAAAGATTTTTTTACTGGTTTTCCTCTCCAACTGTTCACACTTTGCCTGCTTTGAGCTAATGAAAATACTGAACATGTGCCTTTCCACACGCATACACACATTTACATATACATTACACATATTTATGTATTTATTGTGGTGAAAAAGTTAATGAAAATCATTTCATTGTTATTTGATATTGGATTTTCCTTAACATGCTCTCGTAAGATGACAGTTTATTTGAGAACATCAATATTAAAATTCATGTGCTCTTTTTAGCCTTAATTGGACCGAATTGTTTGTTTGAGGTTAATGAGCTCTGATACTATGTTAAGACTTTGAGTTACACTTTAAAAAATCAACCTAGTTAAGAAGAGTTGCTCAAGCCCTTATGTGTCATGCATTATTCGATGTGGTATATATCCTTGACAATCAAGAAGCAATATTATGGCATCATTGATTTTCAATTTCTGAGGTTATATTGTTACACATTGAAACTTACTCTGATATTTGCTCTTGCAGCTGGTCAACGACCTATGAAGACCTACTCTCAACTAATGACCCTTTCGCCGAGCCAATCCCTTTACCAGTAAGTTTTCTGGATAAAAAATACCGCATATACACTTCACACGAATGATGACCCAATAAGAAGCTTCTAGTTGTCCTTAAATTAGCTTTATTTGGAAGCGTAAGAGCAAAGTATGAATTATTATGTTTATCCTATGAAACAACTTTTTGGCTTCTTCAGTAGGGTAGTTAATTTTTTGCCGCATAAAATTTGGCCAACCTTTACTAGTGCAAATACAACAAGAAGCTAAGCATTATTCCCAAAAAAATTGGGTATATCCTTTGCAACTAAAACATATTATGTTAGTTCCCTCTCTTGACTTTCTTTACCAAGATCCCGTTCCTCATTTTTAGTGTAAGTAGTAACAGGGTATTTTTATTTAGACTCTGTTGCACAAACCCGTATATCAGTTCGGGACCATACTATGCATACTCAACCAGGTACATTTATACATTCTACAGGAGATGGTGGACTTTTTGGTTGATATCTGGCAAGATGAGGGGCTTTTCGACTAGATAATCTCATTCTAGTTATTACGGAAGCTTTCTATTTGAACAACAACGTGAAATATTATTCAAGCTTGAAGTCAGCATCCAGTTACCTTTCAATTTTTAGTTGTTGTAACAATAGTTAGATTAGTCAAATCTTATCAACAGATTGCTTATAATTTATATGTAGATAATTTGATGGCATTTGGTACCATTTAACTTCATTGGTTGGTTAATTTTCAGAAGAAATTAAGTGAAAATGAAAAAGGTGGAAGTCCTCGCAGCATCTCCAATGCGTTGGTGGATTGTGAAAAAAATGATATCACATCAGCAAATAGGCAGTGTTTACCATGGAAAACACTTTTCTTGACATCGAAACTGCTCAGATTAGATGGCAAAAAAGATTGTCGAGAAGGCTGAAAGCACATTTCATGGACGAACCAGAAGAAAATCACAGTTCAGAAGCCAAAAACTTCCCGAATCATAACGAGACTTGACAATAAAATTTTGGCGGGAGATGGAGTTCATGACCACCGGTGGACCAGCCATGCGTAGCCAAGCCTGAAACATTTTGTCCATTGATTGTTCGAAACAGTTTTGGGAGCA